TTCCTTCCCCCCCTCCTGCGTCCTGATGCTGCAGCGGTCAGCTGCCGCGCCGGGGTGCCTACCGTGCCTGGCGTGCACTTCCCCTCCTCTCCTCCTGCATCCTTATGCCACAGCGGCAGCTGTTGCGCCGGGATGCTCTCCTTCCTGTTTCACAGGGTTCCTCCCTGGCGGCTGCGGTTTGCTGCCCGATACTGCATCCTGATGGCGTTCAGGTGGTTTGGAATTCACGCAAGGATTCACGCAGGGAGTGGTGCTGCGTCGCATTCGCTGAGGTCAGGTACCCCCTGGCCTGCTCCCGTGTCGGCCACTACTGATGACCGGAAGACTCCAGTGGGTCTCTCGCTACACTGCTTACCTTACGGTACTTGGACTTCGGTTTTGGCAAGTGTGGCTCTGTGCGCTCGCTGGCCGACGCCCTCCTGCATGGATTTCGCTGTCGACGAGTGTTGCAGTTTTTACTGCCGTTTGCAGTTTTGTCGGTGATGAGGTTGCCCCTCTTCACTCTTGCGCCGACACGATGTTTTTGCATGTGTGTCGCCTACGGCACGGATGTCGTCTGAGTGTGCCTGTCGGTCTAGTTCGTCTCTGACGGTGCTTTCTGTCTGACGACCTCTGCGTGTTTATGGTCGCGCCGCCGCGTCAATTAGCTGCGCTTACTTGCTGGTCGCCACCGGGATTTCCAACGCCGCCGGGTTTGGGAGTATCGGTTCCGGCTCTCCTTCTGGGTGGCTGCCCGTTCGCTCGCTTCGCTTGCCTTTCTTTTCCTGCTGCCTAGTCGCGGCCCGATTAGTGTTCGGACGGCTTTCCACCCGCCTCGCGAGCTTAGGTTTCGTTTCATTTTTCGGCGCGCGTGTTAAACGCGGCAACGACGTTGTCGACTTCAGCGGCGCAGCTGATTCGAGTGCGGCGCGCGAGACCATGCGACGAAAGGAGCCGTGGTTATTGTTGCACATCATTGAGCAAGAGTTCCCGAAGCGAGGGCCAGCATGCCAATTTCGTACGCGCCGATCTGCTGAGAGAGCAGAACGAGCACGCAAAGGGAGTCCGCCGATGTGCAGAGGCATCTGGCAATGCAGTCGCTGCTCCACTATCGCGCATCACGCTTGATCTCGAACGGGCATGTCGGCGATGTGGTTCTTGTGGTTGCAAACGACCTGGACTTTGCATCGGGGCTCAAGGTGGACTTGCCCACGGCAAGTGCACTCGCGATCTTATAATCTCAATGCCTGACGCTAGCTGTAGGAATTCGCGCCTCGTCATTCTCGTCGCGCGCAGCTGTTTGAGAGGCTTCCGTGGGCAGTTGATGGCGGTCGGAAGCGCCCGCCCGTTCTCTACTGGCATTGTGCGTTGTGAAGGGCCCAGTGTTGATTTCGACGAGTGGTCTACTGAACGATGCGCTTCGGATGGCAGCGCAGGTGCTACATTGTTCGTGCGCTTCGCGAGAGAAGCAGTCGTAGGATCAACCGACGAAAACAACAGACATGACGCTTGCATTGAAGTTCCCTCATCACAACGCGATGGGTTATGTTCGACAACAGAGATGAGACGAGTCCAGAAATCAGAGCGTGATTGGTAGCTAGGGAGGTAAAGAGAGACAAGAGCGCAGTCCCGTTCGGGGCGACGCCCCCGCCTGTGGCCGACAAGTTTCCGCTTTGCCGCGTGGCCGCTGGTCCACGGGCTGTCCGCGCGCATTTCTCGCTCTAGCGGTGGCGCCGTCCGGGATGTGTGCGTTGAATATCCGGAGGAGCATTCGTGGCCTGGGATGAAAGGCGCGCTGGCTCATTGCATGTGCGGGGGCATAAGCGCGGCTCATGGTTGGGCGGCTCGGCGCCAAGGTGCGGGCCCAGGCCAGTTTTCTAGCTCTTGTATGTTCTACGAGTCCATGGGATGACCTGGGGTAGTTGCGCGCGGCGATACTTCCAGCCTCCACGGGCAACGAAGGCCTTGCATTGCTTGCAGAGGTGTTGAAAGCACCGATGGCCGTGAGTGTTAAAACAACCTTCGGACCAGAAGATGGCGACGACGAGCGTCGGGATTCTTAGCGGAATTGCGTCTTGAACCGGAGTCGGCGTTGAATGCGAACGTGACCAGAGGCGCGTTCCATTTACAGTCAGAGACAGTGGCGCCCAGGAAGAGCGATCGAAGACGTGCCCCGCGCTGGCGTCGGGGAAGCGGTGGGGTCGGATTTCTAGCCGCATATTCCCGAGATGGTCAGATCATTCCGATCTCTGTGCGTGGAATTCAAGTGCGTAGCACAAGACAGAAGCGACGTCCAATGCGCGGCGAAATAGCTTGCGCGAGGAAGTTCAAAAGCCAGCGCTAGGCCGCTGGGGCGAAATGAAAAGACTTGCGCGCTATTTGAAGGGACGTCCGAGGGTCATTCTACAATGGCCTTTTCAAGAACAGTGCTCGCGTCGACACAGATCAAGCAGGATGTTCGAGGAGCGGGAAAAGTTCGAGAGCAGGAGCTTTCATGCTTGGTCTGCAAACCATCAGAATCTGAGCAACTCACACAGCATCATTGCATTGAGCTCCGGGGAAGCAGGATGCGATGGAATCGCGAAGGGGGCGAGCGTGCCATTAGGCGCATTGTCGTTCGCATTCGATTTCGACATTTTCTTGAAAGGGCGCTGGAGCGCTGGCGGCTCGGCAGGAAAATGAGGTCGCATCGAGACTGGGATTGGGTAAAGCGGAGTTCCCTCACACCCAGTATGCGCGGTATCAAGAGACACTCGCAAATAACGACGTCGTCATCCGAAACATCGGCACTGACGAGAATGCAGGCGATCTAATGGCGCAGTATTTGGGCAGACCGAAGCCCGACCGATTCGTTCAGAAACTCGCTTGCACCACGCGTAGCGGACATCATGGGTTGGCGCCGCAGCTTGTGAAGCGCAATCTTGATTCAATTTCGCTGGAAGAACAGGGGTGGCTTCAACCCGTCTCGACGCTAGCAGCCTGGGCCAATCGTAGAAAGAGGTTGCTTGACATCAGCTGCGCTGCGCTCAAGTGAGCTTAACCGCAATATCCGTGAATCGCCGCTTCATTGCGTATGTTCTTAAAGCCAGGTGGTCAGCACCGTGAGCGGGGAATTGTTCGCCCGATGTGTATGCGGAGTGAGGGGATTTATGTGTAATCGTTCCAGACATCGCAGCCGCAGTCGTCCCAGATCTCAAGGAGAGCATCACGTACCATACTTTCATGCCACTATCCCCCCATCTCCCTCTCTGTCGGTCTGTGTCTCAGTCTCTCTCTCTCTATATATAGATATCCCTCTCCTGCTCTGTACCTTTTTCCTTTTCGCTCCGCCGAGACCCTCTGCGTCTACCCCGCTGTCTGCCTTCCCCGCTCCGACATGTGAGCTCCGCAGGGTCTTTGCACGCTTCAGAGGATCCGACGCTCCCCTTGCCAGAAAAGTTGGCATCGCCCAGTCGGTTGGTTTCGGATTCGGTACGTAAGTCCCAGGCCATCGTGTTTATTCGGAGTTTCCCTGCCTGTCCTTTTGTGTTTCGGGTCATTTACAACTAGCGGAGGGACAAATCGGAAGGTTGAGGGATAGAAGCCCACCAAACCGAAAACCCTGGTGTGGTTCGGGACTGTGCGTTCGAAAGCGGCTTCCAATCACATTTGTACGCCCCCCCTTCCGCTCCGGTCCCGTCAAGGTCGCCATTTTCCTTTTGAGGAGGAGCAGAAAGAAAGGTATAGAGAGAAAGTGGGACAGGGATGGGATGGAAGGGGAGGGGAGAGGGTGAGAGGATGGAGACACGGATGGTATGCGGAGGCGCGGGGGAGCAGAAAACGGCAAAAGAGAAGGGAGAAAGAGAACGAGAAACAGAGAGAGGCGGAGAGGTGCGTGGAGGAGGCGGAACAACAGGGGTGGGGACAGGAGGGGGAACCGTCAGCCCTCACCACAGGCTCGCGGACTAGAACTGTATTCTGCTGGCCCCTCCTTCCGCCCCCTCGGCTCACTGTTTGCGCGCTGCAAGCGGGGCTTGGGCAGGAATAAGATCGTTCCAGAGCCTTTCGGAACGCTCGAGCGCCTTGGGAAGGCCGCGGCGCCCGATACATCTTACCGATACATCCTACAGAAGCGCCAGATCTCAGAGCTGGTTAATGCCATACAGTCGGTGCTGCCGACCCTGAAGACGGCGACGGCGGCGAAGACGGCGACGACGACGACGACGATGACGCGAGCGCCTGATCTCAGAGATTGCTAAGGCCTTACGGCCAGTGCCGCCGACCCTGAAGACAACGACGACGAATACCAGGAGGAGGAAGAGAGGGATTAAGGTGGAAGGGAGCAGGAAAAGGCGCAGGAGATGTTCCCAATGTGGGCCGAGGGAGTCGTAGCAGAGACAGACAGGGAGCCTTGTGGCCTGCGGCCCTTCCCGCCACCGTGCTGGGGTTGGGGTTGAAAGGCCTCTTGGATGTTTTCGGGCCTGTTGGGATCTGTGTTGGGCCTCTTGGGAGTCTCCTGTGGGCCTCTTCGGGCCCCTTGAGGGGCTCTTGGGGCCTTCCGGGGGCTTCTTGGGGCGGGAAGCTCGAAATGTCGGTTCGTGGTCCTCTTCTTGGGCCTGCTTGGAGCCCTCTCGGCGCGTCTTGGCACTTTTTTGGGTTCGGGGACGCCCAGGGGCGGATGCGTATCTGACCCCCCCCCAGGACCTCCCCGGGACCCTCCCCGTGACCCCCCCGGGACCCCCCCTCCCCTTCGGCGGGGGAGGGATCAAAGGGAAGGGACTTCCTTCCCTTCGACTTAAGTACGACGTTGCTACTGTTTTCTCTCGCTGGCAGGCTTGAAGATGAGGGTGCAGGGAAAGGGGACGACGGACAAGCAGGGAAAGAGAACAACGGATGCGTCGACTGAGCGCACGCCGACTGGGGGTCCACACGCCGACAGGGTCGGCGGATTTCAGATCTATCCCTGTCCGATGTTGTCCCTGTCCTGGCTTCGTCTCAGCGCTTGCACGGACAGGGCACCCGAGGTTCCGCGGCATTTCGCTGCTCGAGGCGCCGCGCGGGGCCAGGCCATATCCATCTCCCGAGCCCGGGCCCTGTGTCGAGAGGCCCAGAGAAGCCGCCGCCATGGGCGACGAGGCCGCCTCGTTGCTGAGCTTCACGCTGTCCTCCTCTTCCTCCTCTTCCTCCTCCTTATCCCTCCCCCTCCTTCCCCCCCTCCCCCTCCTCCCCCTCTTCCTCCTCCTCCTCCCTCTCCTCCTCCTTCCCCTCCTTTTCCTCCTCCTCCTCCTCCTCCTCCTCCTCCTCCCTACCTATCCTCCTCCTCCTCCTTCCCCTCCTCCTCCTCCTCCTCCTCCTCCTCCTCCTCCTCCTCCTCCCCCTGTCCGTAGCCATTTGGACTCAAGACGTGTTGCAGTTCGCCGTTCCTGCTGTACTCGTCTTCATCGGTTTTCTGCTTTCTGCAGCTTGATGGCGGCGCCCAAGGATGCCCTGGGGGTGGTCCTGGCGGCCATCCAGGCGGCGGGCCCGCGCCGAGCGCTGCAGGAGCATCTCCTGCGGGCGGCGGTGGAGGCGGCTGCTGTGGAAAGTGTACGCGGCGGTCGCGCTGGCACGACCTGCGGAGCTTGCGGAGTCCTGGATGACGTGGGGAACACCTTGGCTCGGGCTGGCCAGGCCTTGGCATGGCGGGGAAGGCCACCACGGAGGACGTGCGCCGCGCCTGGCAAGAGGGTGGCGAGGGCGTCCTCGCCGAGGACTGGGTGGCGCTGCGAGCCGGCCGGCGCGCGCTCGCCCACCCCCCTGGTCCAGCGTCGAGGCGAGGGTGCTGCACGCCCTCAGCTCCAGGAGCACGGCGAAGGGCGACGCGCTGGAGGAGGCCGACACCGAGCACCCGTCGGACGTCGGGTACGGCGAGGAAGTCGCGAGCGCAGACGACACGTCTGGTGCGGAGCGGGCTGCAGCCGTCGAGGCCTCGCGCCCTCGCGGGCGTCGGGCGACCCGCAAGGCGGCTCGCCGAGCGGAGGCCGATGCTCCGCGGCAGGCTGGCCGCGGCCGTGGCGGCTGCAGGCCAGGCCAGCGGAGCGGAGGAGACCGTGGCTGCCAAGTCGGCGGCCGAAGCCCAGCGCTGTGCGGCGGCTGCCCAGATCGTGGAGGCCGAGCGCCCTGCGGAAGCTCGCCTGCTGGACGTTCAGAGGGGGGCCGAGGCCATAAGCAAGGCGGAGGAGTCCGATCAGTCGGCGGCCGTGCAGCGCGCTGACGAAGCAGATCGTCACGCCCAGCAGTGGCTGCGGGAACTCGACGATGTGTGGTCCGAGGTTGACAGGCTGAATCGGCAGGATGCCCAGCACTGTACGGCGGCTGCCCAGATCGCGGATGTCATGCGCAAGGCGGAGGCCGAGCGGTCGGCGGCCGTGCAGCGTGCTGATGCAGCAAATCGTCGCGACGAGCAGTGGCGGCGTGAGCTTGCCGATCTGCGAGCCGAGGTTGACGGGCTCAGCTGGGCGGATCTTCGCGACGACGACGGCGAGGGAGTCGGGGGAACCCTTGAGCGGCCTGCGCTGGGGAAGCCCAAGGCCCAGTGGGGGCAAGCCGCCCGATGCGAATCTGGAGGCCTGGCGGTCGGCGACCACGTGACCGTCTCGGCGCCGATCAGAGGCCGTGGCCAACGTATCCAGACTCCTGCTGGCACCGAGGGCGTGGTCAACCAGCTGGACGCCGACGCCGTGTGCATCACGTGGCGAAGCCCCGTGCGTAGCACATGCGCGGCGATGGTGCCGAACAAGCTGGTCGCCAAGCACCTCATCAAGAAGAGTCGGCCGCAGTCAGCTTGGGCGCAGCCTGGGGGCTAGGCGCGGCGACTCCACGCACTTGGCGCCAGCCATGCTGGGGAGGCGCTGAGTGCTTGGCCCGTGCGGGCGAGGCCTGGCTCTCCCGAGCTCGGGCCTGCTTGGCGCGGCTCGAATGCCTGTTGGTTCTTCGGGTCCCTCGTTTTTGGGGCACTTCGGGAGCCCCTCCTTGGTTCCCTCAGTGCGGGGGCGGCGGGGCCCTCCTGGGCCCCCTGCCCCGCCCTGTCGCCTCGGGTGGGCGGGGCCCTCGTGGGCCGCCGTCGTCCGTGTCTGGCGGCGTGCTGTTTGGTCCTGGCTTCCTCCTCGGAGGCCTGTGACTTGGCAGCGTGCCCTCTCGGGTCTGTCGGGTCCGTCGTTGCCGACTTGGCCGTGGGCACGCGCGCGGGCCAGCTGGCTCCCGCGAGCGCTCGGCGCCGCCGAGTGCAGCTTCGAGGCGCGGGGACATGCCACCTGCCGCCGCGCAGCCTGCTCCCTCATTTTCCTCCTCCTCCTCCTCCCTCCCTGTCCTCCTTCTCCTCCTCCTCCTCGTCCTCGTCCTCGTCCGCTTCCTCCTTAAAACAGCATGCAATTATCGGCGAATCCGAGCGGGGAAGTGAGAGGGGGAGGCCTTGTCAGCAAGCGGCGCGCCGAGGGGGAAGTGAGAGGGGGAGGCGAGGTTCGAGGTTTTCGGGCGTTTTCGTCCGTTCTCGGCGGCTATCCAGCCCCGGGGATGCCTTCAGCGGCTGCGCGTGGCTGAGGGCGTTTCGGGGGTGCCCAGACCGTCCCGAACGGCCGCCAGAGAGCCGAGTTGTGAACCGAACGCCGCAAGGCGTCCGAGAGGGGCAGGCCTCATCTCAAGGCGGCGGGGCTTGTCAGAAACCCTCCAGCCTTTGAGAAACTCTCTGTGGATCCTGACGACCTGACGAGGCCCAGCTGCTCAAAAGGCTGGAGGCTCACTGAACCTTCTGAGAAGACCGGCCCCCTCTGCCTTCTTCCGTGGGCGCGCTGCAGAACACACCATCGGAGGTCCGCGCCGATTTCTTGGGTCGGCGCTCGGCCCCCTTCCCTGGTGCGCGAGGCGTACCAGGGGCGGTGCCAGAGGCGCCGCCAGTGGGGCTCAGCGCCGACACAAGAGCTCCGCGCGGCCCCCCTTCTCTGCTCCTTCTCTCGATCCTGGCTTTCAGGATCCAGCCTGCAGGATTCCTGGCCATGCTGGTGGGGCTTTCTGCGAGTCTGCCAGCTCGTGCTCCTCTTCGCCCTCTTGCGGTCCTGAATGACCATGGTGAGTGGACAGCATTGATATGCAGGCGTGCCCGCGTTGCAGACCGACTCCTCCTGCCCTCATCGTCGTCGCCGTTTGTCGTCGTCGTCGTCGTCGTCGTCGTCGTCGTCGTCCTGCTCCTCCTCCTGCTCCTCCGCCTCCCTAATCCTTTCTCATGTGCCCGTTTGGGCGTTTTCTTGGGGCCCTCGTTGGGCGTCATGGAGGCCATCATCAGATCCTCTTGGGCTTTTTTGGCGGCCTTTTAGTCGGCTTGGGGGCTCTCCTGGGCCCCTGGGCTGTCTCGGGAAGCTTTTGGCTCCTACGGCCCCTATCAGGCCCACCCCTGGGCCCCCCGTCTTGTTTTGTGTTGTTCCCTGTATGGCCGCGCGTATGGGTTGACTCTTCGCTGGAGTGATCTTTTCTGCGCGGCTTTTGCGGGGTTCGGGGGTCAAGCTCAAACCTGCGGGCCGCTCCTGCAGCGTCGCATGCAAGGATCGGCAAGCCGCGCAGGGCCACTCTAACGTGTGGCTGGGAAGTCTGCCACATTCTGCCCGAGAGGCTTTCTGCCGTGAAGTATGGAGCCACGAGGCACCACCGTGACTTCGCAGGGCTCCACAGGCACCCCAAGGGCTTGTGTTTCATGGGGTGGATGGGGTCGTCCAGCTTCTGACTTAGAGGCCCCCCGCCGTGGACTGAGGAATGCCGAGGCCTCCAGTGACTTCGCAGGACCTCCCCCATAAAAAAAAAACGCTCTGCCAGGGGATGACTGGCCACTGCGGAGGGCTTCTTGGGCGAGAGATCGACCAGCTCTTGCTTGCCAGAGGCCCTCTTCTGTGGACCATAGAAGCTCTGCCGATTGGCGTCCAGAGCCTCACGTCCGTGGTGATGAGCCCTTGAGGCGGAAAGTCGTCCAGACTCTCCCCCAGAGGCTCTCAGCCGGGGACTGGGAAATCCGTGCTTGGGCGACGGGTCGGCCAGCTCCTGCCCCGGAGGGCCTTCGCCGCAGCCAGGTTTCGCAGAGTTTTCGCCCTGCTCTCGATTTTCCCCCTGCCTTTTTTTCTTCCCTTGGCGGCGCGCACAAGGGGGTAGGGGGAGAGCGGAAGGCTTCTCAGAAGGAGGCTGCGTCTTAAAAGGCGCTGGCCTTACATTTACGTATAGGGCCCGCGCTTTTAAGAAGCAGGGGTGCTTCTAAGAAGCCTTTTGTCCTTCCCCAAATTCTCCGCGCGGGCCGTCAACCGTTTCCATCAGGGGAGGCCAAACGCACCTGGAGAGGGTGCCTCAGGGCCCACCTCGGGACGCTCAGCGGCTGCGTTCGGGCGCCCACCGTGGCTGGAGCCGCGGCCGCTGCGACACCCTACGGGGGGTACGTCGTCCTGGAGATAAAGTTCGGGCCTCCATCGTTGACTAGTCAAGATGCTCACGGGCGAGGTCTCTTGAGGGGACCGCTTGGGGCCTCGTGTGGGCTTCTTTTCGGCCTCTTGGAGGCTTTTGAGGGCCTTTTTGCAGGTTTCTTCGGCGTCCGCCGGCGGTCTCGGAGGTCCTCTTGGGACGGAGGGCTCGACGTGTCAGTTCGAAATGATGCTCTTGGGCACCTCTTTGGGCCCTCTTTGGGCCCTCTTGGGCTTTCTTGGGGCCCTCATGGGCCGTCTTGTGGGCGTATTGGGCCGTCTCGGAGCGATCTTGGTGTTCTTTTGGGGGCCTCCTGGGCCGTCTTGGACGATGATGGCACCAACAGGGCGAAAAATGATAAGCACGTATGCTTCACCCAGATTTGGTAGATTCTTCTTTTTTTAGGGCTTTCTCCAGGGTCCTGTTACAGCCTTTTTGGGGCGTCTCGGATCCCTCTCGGGCCGTTTTGAGGCCATGTTTGGTGTTTCTGAGGCCTCTTCGGCGTTTCAGAGCCCAGCTTGAGCATCTTGGAGGCCACGGAGTCTAGATTTGGAGGCTCTGGAACTTTAAGCTGGGGCAAAGACCAGAGATAGCGAGCGTTTGTCCGCGGCCGTTTGTGTTCAAGCGGCCGGCCGCCGAGATATGACTGTGCCTCATCGCGAGGC